CAGGCAAGCGAGAAGACCTTGGGCGGCCTCGAATCCGACAAGGAGTCTCAGGGCAACGTGCGGACAACTTCTCAGCCTCCCGTACAAAGGCACAACGAACCCCCCGTCGGCGACTGCAAGACCAAAGGCCCCCCCAAAAGCGACGTTACCTCGAATCGTCGCCAGAATCCTACAAGCCAGTCGGAAGCCTTTCTCCACCAAAACTCAAACACCGACTGCGTTGACGAATGCGCAATTGATGATGATTCCGAGTGGAAAGACTCCATCGAGAATGACAACACGTCTAGCGTTGACGAGACTGGCAAAAGGTCTAGCATTGACGAGGAGACCTTTTTTCAGCGTACCGGCAACAACAGCAAGCTGACCTCGCGTCGCTCTCTTATTACCATGATGGTGGTTGAGATGGACAACCGCGGAGGGGTAGGGACTGTTGCCTCTCGGTCTATCTCAACACTTCCGTTTCGTACCAACCACCCGGCCCCGCCTACCTTAGCCGTCTCCCCCAATGATTCCGGCGACGCTCCATTGATAATGAAGCGCGATAACGGCTGGCCGTCTCTGAAGCCCATCACCGAGGTGCCACGGTTTGCTCCTCGGCCTATCTCCAAGAGTGCCAGCCGTTGGTGCGAATCCGTTCTCTCCCCCCGAACTACACGACGAAACATGCTAGCGACAGAGTGGCCCGACTCTCTCCGAAGTAACGTGCTTCGGGAGCGCCAGCAGAAGCTGATTACTGCCAATGCAGTGCTCAAGCGCCACTGTTCCTCCCACGACATCGCGAACCTGAAGCAGTACCCCAAGAGCACCTGGACCACCACGAAGGAAGATAGTGTCATCACTTCTCTATACTTCAAGGATGTCCACCTAAAGGGATGGTGACGTGCATGGTCGCGAGATGGGAACTCTGGAGTCACTACGGCGACAAAATCCGAATAATTATTCGATTCGCGCGACTTCGAATGGGGCCGCGGAGGCCTTACTGTACAGAGACGCGCATTGATCTGCGGAACAAGCTGAAGGAGAGATGGATTCATGATAATGCGGCAGGAAGCGATGGTAGTATTTGTATATACAAGAGTGACAATCTTCCGATACATTCGCGACGAGCGCACTCAGCATGTCTTCGTTAAATTAAAAACACGAAGAGAAGCCCGATTTCGAAGATATGGGTTGTTGCAACTAAAAATCACACAAGACAGTGCGCACTGGGAGGGTCCAAGGCATGTGACCGATGCTGGTTTCAAAGGTGCCGCGACTAAGTTCAAGTACATGATGATCTGGGTATCTATGGAATTGTTGCTGCTCAAGAGACAAGTTGACAAGTTGGAGAGCTTCGAGGTCCTGACCAGTGCGCGCTCTCTCGATGCTGTCATGAATGCCAGGCACATCTCTTGAGACAGTCTCTCACTTCCTCGAGCATTAAAATTCCCGGCTCTCGCCATGTCTGGTTTCGTTGCCAGACTTGGCCTCCTTGTGGACTACCATATGCGATGTCTTCTACGTCGTTAACACAACACAATGCCAAAAGCCAGGACGCGCGCGATCTACAGTGCTCAGTAGTCCCAGTACAACGCCTTCAAATGAAAGGATTGGGAGGGCGAAAATCCAAGTAAGCCACGTAGAAAATCAGACTAAGGTCTCATAGTTAGAGCAAATCAATGGAGTGAGGCAATTTGCTCACATCTTCTTCTTTTCAAGCTCTATCGTCAGAGCGTTGGGATACTTTTCGTGACAACCCCACTCTGAACGCAGGCATTGATTTTCCTTCATAGATTGAAGCATCGGGGCACCAAAACCATGCACCCGATCAAGGGGCACACAGTAGGGTGCAGACAGACCGTTGTAGATCAACTTGCCCGAGTCGAGTAGTAGGTAGACCACCCAATGGGTCATTGGAAATTCGAACTTGAATTCGGGATCTAGCGCAGCATCTCTCTCCGAAGCTGCAGCAAGAGTAGTACTATCGTGCTCGAAAGAATCGTATGGCAGAACACAAAGGGCTGGAGCTAGATTAGCAACTGAAGTCTGTAATTTCAAGATGTATCGAGTCTTCTGAGCCAGCAAGCTCGGGTTGACTGCGCTCTCGAAATGATTGGCTTCCGTACCAGAAGTTGAGTTCTGCCCGGCACTCAGAGATCTTTCCGCACATGGACCGGCGATAGTGCTTCTTTTCTTGGATTTAGAACGTTGATCGTATGTCTGAGAGGAGTCTATTAGCTTCGTTGTAGATATTCATCAACTCACTCAACCGTCACAACGCGGAAGAAACCTGGCCTCATGCAGTAACGGGGGCGCTTTCAAAGCTTTGGCTCACTCTTGAGATGAAAAATTCTTCCGCAATTGAAAACTCATTACATGGTGAATTTCGCATGAAGAAAGTTGTGGTGTTGGCTGACATTGTATACCTCAACTGTGTTTAGAGAACTTGATGGCGGGAATGACGACCGGGAAAATGCCCCCGGGCAGGAAGATAGACGCATACTTATATCAGGGGGGTCAAAGTTGCGAACGTTGAGGTGCTTCCCCCAGAAACGAGGAAAGAGACCCAGGGTACCCGTACAAGACCCTGTCATCGCTGAAGCCACTCAAATTCAGTGGGGAGCGCATAATTACTTCGAGATGCCACTCAAACGGCGAAGTCAGGCCCGCGAATTCGCTAGTCACCGGTTCGTTCTCAAGTTGACCAGCGCAGGCCGCGTGGAATTTTTGTTACGGGCCATAGGTATGAAGAGCTAATCAACCCAAAGGTGATGCGGTGCCCTCAGCTATGTTAATCACCATGAGGCGCGAAACGGATACTCAGCGCCAAGAAGCAACCGGTGTCTTAGCATCGCGCATGATAAAGAGAAAGGGCTATGCCATGGGAATTCTCTTCATCCTTGAGCCTCCCGACATTAACTCTGAAGGAGGTGAAAGAAATGTCTGCGTCTGGATGGTGGAGAAGAATAGCTGCAAGCTCGTCAGGGAGCCCAATGGCACAGCATTGACGTTTACTGTGCAGGTGATTTCGGAATGATCCTTGATAAGCTCTACGGCTACTATGTTGAATACGGATGCGACCTGGCATGGAGTGTGGTGACCGAAAAATCTTGTAAAGCCCTGATCACAACGCTGCTAAGGCAAAGGGCACAACGAACGATGAATTGCGGCTTCGACATAGGTGAATGTCCAACACCACAGATGGACAACTGTGTCGATTGGTATATATGGCGTTGATGCCGCATGCCAAACGAGTACAGCGAGATACGTGCGAAAATATCGAGGCTCTTCTTACTGTGGCCCTATTCACACCGCCTGATTCCTGGCTTGGGCCGCGCCGTCGATCAGCCTGCGGCAAGGTCCTGACGTGGTGCGTGAGATAGCGTGCACGTATATGGCCAAGCTGCCAAGCTTCTGGCAATACCGAGGCGGCCCGGTGAATGTGGCGGACGCTGTTTCGTTCTCGCACATTACCTACCTATGCCCACAAAAGTTCAAGTAAGGCACCCGATGCACAGCTGAGTGAGGTATCGTCACTCATGCATGGATGAATTTCATCCATATTGGTTGTGGCTCTGCGATCGTCGGGGAATAGTCATGGACCGGATTGCATTAAGCGGAGTGTCAGGCTCAGGTCTGACTGTGCATATATGCTGGCAGTTCACCGACTTTGAAATGGTCAGGGTGCCCGGGGGCTTAGGATTCTGATTAGTAGCCGCATATATCAGGGGAGAGAGGGCGTGTGCATTTTGTGTCGAATCATCTTTATCACATCTGTCATTGCCGGTCCATAACTAACCGCGCCTTGATTGCGCATGGGGCTAGTCATTAGGCAGCCGTGGCGGACTGCATTTGAATTAGACTAGTTAGGTCGAAAACTCGCCTCCCGCCCATGCGGCGATTGACATACTCTGATACACCTTGGTTCGGGGACCATTCCCTTGTCAGAGGGTGCAGGGTGGGTGGAATCGGTCGGTGAGACAAGAGTCATTCGCACATATGCGTACGTTGTCACATCTACCTTCGTCGCTAGAAGTTCATTTGTGGGTACTATACAACCAATCCAGTCATAATGACTCACCAACAATAGCTCTCAGAAAGCTTGAGTTGCTTCATCGTGGCCCTTGCTTGTCATTGTCTTGTTGTACCTCTGCATCAGACATGCTACCAACCCAGCCTGCATCAGATCTTGAGCTTCATCGTATAAGACAGTGTCATGACCTCCAAGAACATGGCGAATTTTGATTCGGAAGCTGTATTTCAAGTGCTTCACCCATAGGAAACAGTCCGTTCAGGGTTTTAACGCATTCTTTCCGGCTACATCATTATTCGACGCCGACCATGTCATCACCTTCTCTCATACCACAACCCCCTTCAATCTACGATGATTCTTCGCACAGAATGATTGAGGAACGTCATGATAAAAGTCTAGATGGCGGACGCCGCACCGGACACATCATTTCATTTTCCAATGTCGAACTGTCGATGTCATCCACGATCCAATACACTGAACATGTACTACATGGCGCTGAGACTCCGGGGCGGTTCGGCGGCGCAAGCCGCCTTCATGTGAGTTGGACTTTCTGAGTTTGTTAGCAGATACTGACAGTTCCAAGTCGTCTTCGAGACATCAAGCTGCCAATCCTCCGAGATCCGACGAGTCCATCTCTGACACTGGACACGTCGCGCCAAAACCTGATGGCACAAGAATTTGCCTCACATCGCATACGGCTCCGAACTCTGGAATTCCGGGTCAACCCTCGCTCGAGGCGGGTGGAGCGAAGGAGGCGAAGTGTTTCTGCGAGAACCTGGAGCTCGGCATTATGCCGCCTGCTCAACTAATCCACAACGGTAATCTTTACAGAGTAAAGCAAGACCCAGTTGAGTTTCTATCAACTTTGAAGAAGCCATTCACGGCTCCATTTGGATATGTCATATCGCATGGTGCCAAAGACTGGGTCACGGAGGGAACCTTGGTCGTAGGCTGTGATCGATCGGTCCTTGCCTGTTTCCAATGTAAGAAGACCGTTAAATGCAACGCAGAGCTAAGACCTGATCAGATCAATGGGCTCTTTTCAACTATAGTATGACCTGACTCCTTAGACCTGCTGTCATCCTCGTAGATGCCATTCAGAACGACCGAAAGGAACGAGATACTGATACGTTTCAACATACGCCATCAGGTCTGGGCAGAGGTTGAAGGTAGTACCTACATCAGGATTGCAATTTGTACAGGTAGCGCGGTTTATCGAGGTTGAGGCAATAAAGTCATTGGTATTCAGTTGATGGATCCGCAATGGAGGCGCCGTTTGTGACGTCAAGTATTTGTCTGTACGATCTGCACGACGGCCAGGATTTTCGTGACCTCTATTCCCAGAATACGGCAGATGAACTGCTCGACGCGGACCAAAGCTCTGAGGTCGCATTCCTAGAAGATTGCTCTGATGAAATGGCCGGCCGAGGGCTTGTGATTTGGTTGCAGGCTACGCTCCCTAGTCTTGGCAGCCTTCCGGCTTTGAAAAGTCTCTATGTAGGGAGTAAAGGTACGTAGGCGGGTGATGGCACAAAAGGTGCATGATCTCCTGCGGGAAGGTAAACGATCTGAGTGGGACTAAAGCAACCGTTCTTTCTTCTTGAGGTGAAGCTGGTGTTCTATCCTTCTCTCACGCTGCCCCGTCTAGCCCTCCACCGATGTAGCCGGGACTTCTATAAAGTATCTCGATCAGCAGTGCCCGCCCAAACGAGTCCCCAACAGTGACGGCTAGATACACATCGGCACTGGGACGGATTTGCATCATTGAAATGAGGAACTTAAAAGAAGCACTGAACATATAACTAAGCTCAGAAGACGCTGCCCCTAAATTACAGAGTTCCAACATCCGAGCGCTGCCCGGGAGTAG